GACCGTCCCTTAGGTAAAGTCGCTTCAATTTCATTTCAAATAAGAGAGAGTTTTGTTCCCAAAGACATGGCTCTAGATCGCCAGGCATCCCTGGTAGAAGAATCCAAGGCAAAGACTGGTTCAGAAAGGCCACCCGTTTTTCCGAAGGTCAACAAACCTTGCTCCGATTTTTTTTATATACTTTGAACTGATACTCGGCAAAATTCATTCCTTGCTCGCTCAGCGTTCGCCTTTCAAGCCCAGGCGAGTCAGGGCGGGGGGACAGTTTTCCTGGAACGAGGCCATCGTGGAAAAGTGCCTTGTCCCCCCATCACATCTCGCAAGTACGCTCCTGGAGACATTGACGCCATGTATTGGTACTACGGAACAACAAGCAGCACGGCCCTGTTGATCTCGTACTTCAGGGGACGAGTTGCTCCTCAGAACGGCATACCACACGGCATCTATGATATCGACAATGAGTTCTCTCTAGTCATCGAGAACGTCACCGCCAAAGACGAGGGAATTTATCACTTTAAGCTCAAGCCTCGTTTGAAGATGACAGAAGAAGGACACGTAGAAGTTTGTGACAAGGGTGAGTAGGGTGTACATGTTTATGCATGCGCATTGCTGGCAGCAAGATCTGTCATGAACCCAAACGAAGAAAGTCAAACTCATCGACGTCTATTCTTTTTTATATTCGTTAGATCCAACTGTCTGTAGTAACTTGAACAGTTTGGAACAGTAGATTTTATCAGCAATTGGTCAGATAAAAAAATAGTTTCCGTGCGCAAATTTTAAAAGGGTTAATATTATATTTGTTTGCGTTTGCGTCCTCTAATGATGCCTTCTGTTGTTACCTCTGGACGTTCAGTTTCCTCAGGGGAGCCATATCCCACAGTCATCCGGTGCGATCAAGATCCATCAGATGCAGGCCAGTGCGAGATACAGATAAACCCCCTCTCTTCTGTTCACGAGCTGACGTGCGTCGTGAATCAGGTTAAACCTGCCGTGGAACTGAGGTGGAATCGTCTGTACACGTATATGAATGAATCCGTGGAACTCAACGCTGCAACGAGGGTGAAGCATATAGCTCTACCGGCCAACAATGGTAAGCGAAGACATTCCAAGCTGTTAAATATGTTATGTGCCGTTCATTGGACTTAATTTTTTAAAACAGTGGCCTTAGCATGTGCATTCGTGTGATTTCCTTGGACGCTGCTCAACTGTCTTTTGTTTATGTTTACTTGGCACTAAATGACTAAAAGTGTATTGGCCTAAATTTAATGTGGGAGGAAAAAAGCTTTCTCAAACACAAACTGTCATTGAGCATATTGGCGCCAGATTTGCTGGCATCAGAATTAGAGGTCCTACAGTGGAAACTGTTCAGCGCTCACAAAAAACTGAGTCAGTTTCAAAAGTCAGAAGTAGGTGAATATGTAGGGAATGACAGACCCGTAGTTGTTTGGATTTATAACTCAGCAGAGAATTAGAGTGTCATACATCAAACAGTTCAGGGTGAACCGAGTCTCTTTCCAAAATCTTACAACCAGGCTCGTCGTTGAAAAACAACACCTACTCGACTTCAGCATCCATCCAAGTGAACGATGTTGAAGATGATGCAGTCTATCAGTGTGAGGCAGTAGGTGTTGCTGTAGGCAGCAACAGTCGCATGAGAGTACATTTTAACAGCGGTGGCTACACCACTGAGACTTACGAAGTTCTGGCCGATCCGTNAACTCTGTGATAACCTTGGCCGGGCCCCGTAAGCTATAACCCTTTTTTGAGTCATTTCTCCGGCCCAAAATAACATTTTTCAAGGCTATTTCGCGTTTCGTTGTCAGATACACTTAATTTGGGACACATAGGGTTTGCACCTACAATGCCTGAATTCTGGGCAATGCGACCTGCACTTTTTGGGGCGTTTGATCACCAAAGGATTTGATAAAGGAAAAAGCAAATCGTTAGTCATATTTTCTTCAAACATAATTCTTAACACCTGTAAAGTCTTCTCATATTTGCAGCAGACAACAAGGTCTGGTTGTACTAGGTAGGCTAAGCTTCCACCAGGAAAATAAGTCCAAATATTATTTTAGACAATTGACTGAATGTATCAAAATTATTGTCATATACAATAATAAACCCTTATATTATGTGATATTTTGGTGACGTGTTATTTGAAGCTCACGTTACTTGTACTATAATTTACTTGCAAGTAACTCTTTGCGTATGAATACAAACAAGACAGTATAAGAGACGGTCAAAGACTTTGACGGGGTTGGCCGGCCGTGGAGTTCGAGTTTTAGAGGGACGCGGAGAGTATGGGTATATTTTGGTGTCAGTAGCACCCATTTCCGCGTCTGTGTAGCCCTAATCTGTGGTGATTTTGTAGTACAGTCTACAACGAAACCCCCAGAGAGTACATGTTATTCTTGATTTTGCATGTGATATTGATGTATTATGTTTAAGGACATTGCCGTTCGCTTTTAAGTATCCTATGTAAGCAACGATACACATGTGCTTTTGTCTGTGAATGTACTGTACATGTTAAGTGTGTGTATGTAGATACAGGTTGATCATTGGAAGCTCTCAATATTTTGTTATTTCAGGCAATGGGTTTTTTGTCACTCCAGGATTTGTATTGTAAGGATGCCTGTGACAGTTGCTGATCACCGATAAACCAAGGCTACAGATATCCTGCTGAGTCTGTCTCAGTCTTTGTGCGTGTGCTCGTTCCGTTTCACAATGGGACTGGGCCTCCTTGTGGCGTCCCACTACAATTGTATTTGGTGGAATGCGAGACTTTTTATGCGTTTGCGCGCCGANTGCATACTATTTGGTGGAAATAAAGAATGACTGAATGGAATGGGTTACAGTTCATCTTGTGTTTACACAACGTAGGACTTTGAATAGTGCTTGCCAAGAATTGTACAATGCTTCCATTGACATGGAGGTCGAATAAATGTATTTTGGTTTGCGCATGTGCAAATGTCGTTGCTGTGCAAGCATACCTCTTTGACCAATTGGAGCCCAGCGCGCAATATTTTGATTGGTATGGTTTATGCCGACAGTGAACGGTCAAAAAAAACTGTCAAAGGCTGTCGTTTCATTCAGAAAAGGTAAGACAGTTTGGTGCTTTTGGATTTTCTAGAAGGGGCCATTACACAAGGCTGCTTTGTGTGTGCTTGTTTTCATGTACCAACGGTCGTCAAATAATGAACTGCAGGAGTTGTAATTTGATTCCGTTTTGCCAGTTAGGACTCGGCGTTGCGATTATGTCTTCATTCCTGGTTAGAACACCTTAACTTGGTCCAGTCTTGGTTCCTTAGACTGGTTCCCGTTCCAGGAACCCCCTAGACGTCTTCCAGACGTCCTCCAAACGTAGGGACCGGTAGCGAGTAACGAAATCGGACGAATCCTGCCGGGTTTATATAAATGAGGAAACATGCCCGCTCAATGCACATATCAAGCAGGAACTGATAGCATATTTCGCTTTTCTTCGTTACTTCATTATAACTTCATTATAAATTGTTTATCTAAAATTTAACACAGTAGTCACTGATTTGAAATAAATTACCGTAAAATAATCGGATGATATTCATTTAAATAAAATTACCTCACTGTGATCAACAGAGGGTTAACAAGGATAACTACCTAGCCTTACGACTTGAACGTTATTCATGTCGATTAGCCTGACAGCATACAAATTCAGCATACAGGGCTAATTACATATGCTAAACTGCAGCTAGCCGCCGGTCCCTGTCGTCAGGAGAGAGAGCCCTCTAACAGTGATGGTTCGTGATCGCTGAACAACATACAGAGAGCTTTTGGAATGAAGACAACGTTGCATTTGATTTTTGTTTTACTTTTAAATCTGAAGTTTGTATCTTGTAGACACCCATGCATGTTAGACGAATCTACATTTGACAAAGATGTGTTACATCCGAATACAGTCGAAAATGCACGCAAGCGAGAGAGCAAATGATCAACTGATCGATTTATCGATCGAATAGTAGTGGCTATCAATCCAAGTCTTTAAATTAGTTTTAAATGCCAAAGAGGTATTCCTATAAAGCCACCCTTATTTACCCTTGCTTTAGAATATTGTAGCG